TCGTTTGGTACCTGCCGAGGGCCTGCTGTGCGGGGCGGTGCGGGCAGCCTCGGCGCTGGCCACTGAGGATGCAGCCGGCCCGTCGGCCAGGGCCACTTGCCTTAGGGAGTTCAGATCCCCGGTGGCGGAACAAAGGCAATCAGAAGGAAAGCCCGCTTGTTGTAAGTGCCGTATTGACATTAAAAAGGGATGAAAGGGAAAAGGGGGGGGGGGGGGAAGGATTGTGATGGGGTAGAGGAAAGACCTTTCTCGGGAGATGACATTTAAACCGACCCTTAAACAGCAAAGATGGGGGATTCCTGGCGGGTGGCGCAGAGGCCCTTAGGCCAGATCCAGTTTGGCTCGGAGAAGAACTGAAAAAGAAAAACCCAGTGGGGCTGGATATGGCGGGTGAAGGGGAGACGGGTGTGTGAAATGCGCTGGAATAAGGAGTTTGCATTTTACTGGGTGATGGGAAGCTGGGTAAGTAAATTACCCGATTTAAGCATTTTAAAAGATGATTCTGCAGCCGTGGAAAGGGATTGTAGAAGGCAGGAATGGATGCTCCGGAGACTGGTCAGGGGGCAGGTGAACGAAAGCCATTTATAGAGCTGGGAGGAGCCTGTTGGGGCAGTATTATGTTACAGATACATTATTTTAACAACTACCTATTGAGTACCTATTATGCACCCGTTCAGACACGGTTCTAAAGGTGCTGGGAATTCAGCGGTGAACAAAACGGACAAAAGTCCCTTCGTCATTGCACTCACATTGGTAGATGGACAACAGATACGTGAAATAGATAGCGTGTTGGGTGATGGTTATAGTTATAATGGAAAATAAACCGTGGTGGGGACATACAGAAAGGGCTGATGGAGAGAAGCTATTTTTTAAATTGAATAGAGAATCCCCCACAAAGAAGACATTTTGCAAAGAACTGAAGGAGGTGAGATGAATCAGTGTTGGTGTAAAGGCCCTGAAGTGGAGATTGTCTGGATGGTAAAGAATAGCAGGAGGCCATTGTGGCTGGATCAGAGAGATGCCGAATGAGAGGAGCAGGAAAGGCCTCTGGGTGGTGATGGGAATGGATCCAGGTCCCATAGGGCCTTGTTGGCCTGTGGAAGGACCTGGACTCTTACTCTGAATGAGATGGGAAGGTTTGAGGCCGAGGAATGACGCATTCTGATTTGAAGAATTCTGCTATGTTAGAAAAGGAGGGGGCAGCAAGGGCAGAAGCAGAGGTGGTTGCAGTGGTGGTAGAGACTTGGATTGAGGAGGGAGAAGTAAAGGTAATAAGTGCTTCAATTCTAGGTATATTTTGAAGATAGAGGAGATGAATTTGCTCATGGATTTGATGTGGGGTGAGAGAGAGAGAGTGCTAGCTTTTGGACTCAAGCAGTAGGAAAGATGGAGTTGTTATTTATTAATGTGGAAGACTGCAGAAAAGCAAGGTTGGGAGGAAGATCAGGAGTTTGGTTTGGGTCCAGGAGAAGTCTGAGTAGGCAGGTGGGTATCAGAGCATTGGGAGCTAGAGATTGGGAGGAAATAAGCATACAGATGATAATTGAAGCTATAAGACTGGATGAAATTACTTAGGAAGAGAGTGTAGATAGAAAAGTGAAGGGGCAGGACTGCGTCCTGGGATTCTTCAGAATGTTAAAGAGGAACCAGCAGAGAAGACTAGAAAGAAGGGTGCCAATCATGTCAGCTCTGTCAACCGCAAGTGATCATTGAATTTGGCAATAATAGAGCAGAAAAGGAGAGATTAATGTTACAGGACAGGGGAATAATTGCAGGAGCAAAGTCTTTGAAACCAAGAAGCGGATAGAATTCATATTAAAAATGGAAAAGTTGGCCTGCCTGGTTGAGCATCGACCTATGAACCAGGAGTTCAAGGTTCAATTTCCCAGTCAGGGCACATGCCCGGGTTGTGGGCTCAGTGGACTGTGCAGGAGGCAGCTGATCAATGATTCTCTCATCATTGATGTTTCTCTCTCTCTCTCCCTCTCCCTTCCTCTCTGAAATCAATAAAAAAAAAAAAAAAGATTTTTTTTGTTTAATGGAAAAGTTGGACTGGGAGAGCATAGTATAGAGTACAGCTGTAGGCAGTGTGGGTGGTGGGAAGATGAAGTTTCTGCCTGATGGCTTCTCTTTATTCTTAAAGTGTGAGGCTGGGTCATCCAATAGAGAATGGAGTGGAACAGGGTGGGGCAGTTATAGGTCTGAGATGGGGGAAGGGTGATTGCACTCACTCATGCTGTGTTTGCTTTTGTCAGGTGAGCTTGTGTTCTTCAGATTTGTCCCAGCTTTATTGGGGAGTTGGGGATAAGGAGGAGGAGAGAACACCCCAGGCAGTTTACTTAAAGCACTAACTTCTCCATCTGTCAGCTGCTGAGCAACTGCCTTGTGTTAGGCACTCTTCTGAGTATCCTGCAACCATCACATCTAATCTTACCAGCTCTGAGAGAGGATCATTCTCCTAACCCCCCACTCCCCATTCCCCCATATACTCTGTTGATCATGCCTACCTTGTAGGGCACTTATAACATAAATAACAGGAAGTGCAGCTTGCAATGCCCCTCACATGGCAAATGCCTAGTATATGCCAGCTGTTGTTTTCATAGAGCAGTGTTCTAAACACCGTCCAATGGAATATGTGTAAGAATTACCTGGAGTGCCTGCCAAAAATGGGAGCTGGGTAGGGTGGTGAGCCTGGGAATCTAGGCACCCAGACATGTTTGAGAGCCACTGGAACTCTTACTACTACACCTTTGTTTCATGTCTAAGATGTATGTTCACTGAAGAGGGTGAAGGGAGCCTGTGTTACTCACCTTTATATCATTGTTCGACAGTATTGTCCGATTGTCATTGGCACCAATTCAACGGCAACAGGAACCCCCCGATTTGGGGTGTGGTGAAGAAGGAAACTTTATTCAGTGCAAAACAGCTCAATTGTGATATAGCACAGCTGTGAAAACAGCATGGGCTGTAGAACAGCTCAGTTGTGAGACAGCAGGGCTGTGAAGCAGCCCTGGGGCCAGGCCCCTCTCCAGCTAGATGCTCTGCTCTCCTCTGCTCTGCTCCTCCATGGTCTGCTTTGTGCTGCACTGGTCTGCTGCGTTCTGTGCCAGTCTGCTGTGGCCTGCACTGGTCTGCTCCACTCTGCTCCTTTGAGACATCTTTGGTGGTTCAGCTCAGCCATGGTTACCCAGTTTTTGGTGGGAAAGGAAAGTGCAAGTGCGCTGTCAGAGCCAGAGGGGAGCTGGCTTATTTGGATAGAATTCCTTGCCCCTGGTGCCTGATTGTCATCATGCAGATGAGGACTCCAAGTCCTCACAGTTTGATTGGTCCAAAATGCACTGTCCTGATTGGTCAGAATAGAGCCACTCAGGTTAGTTGGAGCTGCACAGCTTCCAGTTGGATGGGGAAAGCTTCAGTCCTTTTGGTTGAAATTGAATTTCAGGAACACCTCTATTATAAGGTCTAGCTCAGATGGCAGAAACATAGCTGGGTTCTGAGGCAAGTACTTCGGTGCAGGCCTCTCCCTGAAGTGAGAGGCCCCTATGTAGACATGGCTGCTAGGCTCTGTTTTTTAAAAATTTGAGCCCAGTTAGCTACCAAGAGCCCTCTCTCCCTCTCAGGTTTCACAATAGTTGTAATAACCATAATAATAAATGGCTACTGAATTAAATAAGTCTGGACTGATGTAGTCATCCGTATATCATTGAGGTTCTCAGTTCTGGGGACTTTCTAATGCCATGGTCTCAAACTGGCTACCCTTGGGGCTGAATGCTGCCAGATTTATGAATTTGTCTGAAATGTGGTTTTGTGTGTGTGCTTTTTGTTTTTGTTTTTTTAATTTAAACAAATTTAGGTAGGTAGGCAATTTCTAGCCAGCTACATTCCAAACCATTTTCTTTTCTTTTTTATTTTGTTAATCCTTACCCAAGGATATTTTTTCCATTGGAAAGAGGGATGAGGGGGCGGGGGGTAGAGAAAGAAACAGGGATGTGAAACAGATTCATTGTTTGGTTGCCTCCTGCACATGCCCTGACTGGGGCCAGGGATCGATCCTGCAACCCAGTTATGTGCCCTTGACTGGGAATCCAGCCCAAGACCCTTCAGTGTGCAGGCCAACACTCTAACCACTGAGCTTACCTGCCAGTGCTCTTCTTTTTTAACCTGGACTGCCCTGTACATGTTTTTTATTGTTTTATTTCCTGGCTTCTTCAGATGTTCGTTTGCTTTGCCACCCCTGCTTTAATGAGACTGCAGCTCCCCCACTCTCCAGCACCTCCCCCCCTTCATTTGTTGACCTGGGAGAATGGTCTGGTGAAGAGGAGATTTACACCTCTGACACAAAGACTCCACTTCTGATGCTTGAGTAAACAACCTCCTGGGATCCACAGTTCCTATACCATGCAGTCAGTGCTTAGTAAAGTCTTTTCACTGAGACCCTGCCTCATTTGAAGAGAGGCTGGTAACTGGCAAGGGATTGGGGTAGGATGGCATAGACAAGTTTGAATTGAGATTTGCCTTTGCAAGGGCAAATTAGAGTGAAAATAGTCCTACCTGGTTTGGCTCAGTGGATAGAGTGTCAGCCTGCGGACTGAAGGGTCCCAAGTTTGATTCCAGTCAAGAACACATACCTAGGTTGCAGGCTCCATCTCCAGCCCTGGTTGGGGCACATGCAGGAGGCAACCACTCATTGTGCTTCTCTCACATCAATGTTTCTCTCTCTCTCTCTCTGTCTCTCCCTCTCCACTCTCTCTAAAAATCAATGGAAAAATATTCTCGGGTGAGGCTTAACAACAACAACAAAAAGTGAAAATAAAGTATAGGACTGTTATAGCTTTTAAACATACTTTTCAGCATAATCCATTTTAATTTGGGAGGATTTGCTTTTTTTCAGATATTGTGCATTAAGTAAGTTGAAGCTTACCATTTCAATTTGTATAATTCAGATGCTCTCAAAATGCAGCCACATAACATGCACATTTGAAAATTAATCCTTTTTCTTGATTTTAGGTTCCTATTAATTCGCTTAAAAGAATTTTGTGGAGAATTTCTCAAGAAGAAACTTCATCTCTCTAATTGTGTGGCCATTCATAGCTTAGCTCACATGTATACCCTGAGCCAACTTGCTCTGAAAGCTGCCGATATGATACGGAGAAATTTCCACAAAGTAATTCAGGATGAGGAATTTTATACTTTACCTTTCCATCTTATTCGAGACTGGCTGTCAGACTTGGAAATTACGGTTGATTCCGAAGAGGTTCTTTTTGAAACAGTTTTGAAGTGGGTTCAGAGAAATGCTGAAGAGAGGGAGAGATACTTTGAAGAACTTTTTAAATTGCTCAGATTGTCCCAGATGAAACCTACCTATCTTACTCGGCATGTCAAGCCAGAGAGGCTGGTGGCCAATAATGAAGTTTGCGTCAAGTTAGTGGCTGATGCAGTGGAGAGGCATGCTCTGAGAGCTGAGAACATACAGTCTGGTACATTCCAGCATCCTGCTTCTCATGTCTCATTATTACCTCGCTATGGACAAAACATGGACGTGATCATGGTTATTGGAGGCGTGTCGGAAGGAGGGGACTATTTAAGTGAATGTGTGGGATATTTTGTTGATGAGGACAGATGGGTAAACCTGCCCCATATTCATAATCACCTGGATGGCCATGCAGTTGCAGTAACGGAATCCCACGTGTATGTTGCTGGATCAATGGAACCAGGTTTTGCTAAAACTGTGGAAAGATATAACCCAAATTTTAATATATGGGAACATGTTTGTAGTCTGATGACAAGGAAGCATTCTTTTGGGCTAACACAAGTCAAAGGGAAGCTCTATAGCATTGGAGGACATGGCAACTTTAGTCCTGGCTTTAAAGATGTTACTGTTTATAATCCTGAGATTGATAAGTGGCACAACTTGGAATCAGCACCAAAGATTCTTCGAGATGTCAAAGCACTAGCCGTGGAAGACCGGTTTGTGTATATCGCTGCCCGCACTCCTGTGGATCGGGACACTGAAGATGGATTAAAGGCCGTAATCACCTGCTACGATACAGAGACTCGACAGTGGCAAGATGTGAAATCTTTGCCACTTATTGACAATTACTGCTTTTTCCAAATGTCTGTGGTCAATTCCAACTTTTATCAGACGGCATCATGTTGTCCCAAGAGTTATTCTTTGGAAAATGAAGAGGCAGTCAGAAAAATCGCCAGCCAAGTTTCCGATGAGATCCTTGAAAGCTTGCCTCCAGAAGTCCTAAGCATTGAAGGAGCAGCCATTTGCTATTACAAAGATGACGTTTTCATTATTGGAGGCTGGAAAAACAGTGATGATATTGACAAGCAGTATCGGAAAGAAGCCTACCGCTATTGCGCTGAGAGGAAGAGGTGGATGCTGCTTCCTCCCATGCCGCAACCTCGTTGTAGAGCCACTGCTTGCCACGTGAGAATCCCATACCGGTACTTGCATGGCACACAGAGATATCCTATGCCTCAAAACTTAATGTGGCAGAAGGACCGGATCAGACAGATGCAAGAAATACATCGGCACGCCTTAAACATGCGGCGAGTGCCAAGCTCTCAGATCGAATGCTAGGTTCTCTAATATGTGAAGCTTAAAACAGTCACACACCTGTTTTGTGAAGCTCAAGATACCAGACTGTTACTTGAAAAAGTGTGTCAATAACTTATTTTCTACCTGAATTGATGATTGCCCCCTATAAAGGAAATATAGTTAAAAACGGAAGACTGGGAAACTCAATTCAATACGTGGTAATTTTGTTAGCTTGCAGTCTTTTTCTGCCTTTGGTCTCTGTCTTTAGTTTGTGTGTATGTGCTAGCTAAATAAGATCTTATTAAAGACAAATGGGAAAACCAGGTGTAGTTACTTGGCTGGTTTTCTGCTAAGAAGGTATAACTCCTTTGTCTTAGGACTTAGGTTTTGAACATGCTTTAAGCACCAATTTTATTTGCACATTTACCTTGATATTCCTTTTCACTTTTTTCCTGAGTGGTTGGTTTTGACAAGATCAGAATTTATGCATTGAGCCCTCATTTGCAAGAGGTATGTGCAATAGTAGGACTGAAATTTGAAGGAAAAAGCACAATATTTTAGCAAGATGATTTTAGAATTTTTGCTTTGACATTTTGTTTATCTAGAAATGCTGTTTTGTTTCCTTCTAGAAGAGAGGACTGATGAGAAATTTGTAATTGGCTCATGCATTTTTTTGGAATATTTTTCATTTCTTTAGCCAACTGAGTTATTGACTTTAAGCTGTCACTCTGAAATGATGGTAGTTGGCACAAGTATTGATCTTTAGCTGATTGATTGAATACAGAGGATATTATATATGTGAAATTTGTTTCTCTGAGAAGTATTGGTGTAGTCTGAGAAATCAAAGGCATTAAAAATTTTTAAATACTTTTTTCAGGAATTGCAGGCTTATATGAGGATAAGTTCATGAGTGTAAATAATGCTTATGACAATCGACACTCAATGCCTTCAATTTTAAATTTTGCTCTAATGCATATTTCATAGGATCTTCATTCCTTTCTAAAATGTTTTTTTGAAATGGAAAGGGAATAACAATTTAGAGAAATGTTGCTAAAAACAAGCCTTATTTCTCAGCCCCCATTGTTATAATGTCATATCCAGTTGCCCTGGATTTTTTTTAAAGAAGACTTTATTTGAGCCAAACTGACCACATATGCTGGGAGCAGGACCTCAAATGCTCCCCAGTTGCCATGAACTTTAATTGGAACTTTGCCTGAGCCTGGAATACCAAATTTAAGGGCATAATTCTGGCTCTTCAAAATTTATCACTGTAGTTATTTTTAATTTATTTTTATTCATTCTTCTGATTCTCTTAACACATTCAAAAGCTTTATACAATTTAGCACTTGGTTTGACTATTTTAGCACTCAGTAACTCCTACTCTTACTGTTTGCAATGTGGGTCCAGTATATTCTTGTTTTCTACTATCGTAGGCATTCCCAAACACTGTCCTAGAAGTAGAATTCTAAGTGCATTGATTTTTTTTTCTCTACTGCATTATAGTTAACCTCCTTATTAGTTGTATCAAACACTAAAAAAAGTACAACCAGAAATTTTAGCTTTCAGCTGCAAGACTACTCATGTTTAGCCCTTGGACTCTCTACTAAGAATTTTCTTGAAATTTCTAAATTGATATCACTACCTAGGATGGTTTTTCAATAAACATGTTGGAAATCTGCTTTAAAACCATTTCATTTAGACGGGGGTGGGGATCGGAACTGCAAGTCATATTTCTCTATGAGGATATATTATCCCACCCCAACCATTTTCTCAATTTCTATGTATTTGTGGTTAGTTTAATAAAAGCCATTGGATTCTGAGAAATGCTGATACTTAGTTGTGAGAGATCTATGCAAGTAAGGCAGAAAAGCTCAATGCACGAAGTTCTCACTTCTCTGATAGGCTGTGCTAGCCTTCCTTTTCCTGGCTGTGTAAAGCAGTAGCTCACCAGGATGCCAGCTTCTCTCTAGAAGGGTGTGATGCAGGATTGGGGGCCAGCGGGTTGTGTGGGGTTTTTGTCTCAGACTTTTCTGAGAGACCAATTTATTTGGAAGGTTGTCTCTTTTTCACATGATATGGCAGACCTTATAACTCAAAGATCTAGGTATAATCTGGTTTTGAAAACTTGATTGAAATTGTTGTTTTTTAACTTAGCAGGCAGCCTAGGCCACGGGTGGAAAGAAGGGGTAAGTCCTTCCTTGCATGATGATGTGTGCAGGTTTTCCTGACTACTGAATTGCTAATTTTCGTATTTGAATTCACATGTGTGATTTCACATCAATAACTTGTGTTTCTGAAATAGCCTAACTAACTTGTTAATCAGGAAAGAAACCAGATTTGCTTAAATCTGTTCCAGGCTGACATTCTGAAATTCCAAACTGGAAATAACTTCCCAGCGTTTTTGGAAAGGTTCCGAGTATGAAGAACCTAAAATGCCTTTTTGGGGGGGGAAATGTCCTTTTTGATGAAAACTTAAAGATTGTGTTTGGTAATTTAAACATAAAAATACAGCTTTAAAAAAGGCAATTAATGTGTATTTAAGCAAATCTTGTTTTGTTGCTTTTGGTATTTGTGGAAGTAAAAGAGGAATTGATTATACAAAAAGTAACAACTATACATAACTTTGAGTGAATCTACTTCTATCTCAGAATGGATATCTTAACTATACCTACCCCGCCATGGTTTAAAAAAAAAAAAAAATCAGTGGTATATATTAAGAATGTCAGTCATGAGCTTAGTGTTTAAGTGTCTCACTTGCAGTTATTTGCATGATTAGTCTTGTGTATCTTGGTATCTTGGCTTTTGCTGTGCCAATTAAAAAATATTGTGCTAAAAAAATCTAAACATTCATTGACATCAGTTTTGTTTTGATCAGCTGGTTTTGTGTAGTATTTCTGGGACCAAAAAATTTTAAATACTAACTTTTTAAATATAGAACAGACTCTTGGAACTGGAAAGACAGTGTTTATGGAAGATTTGTGTGCTTCTGTATTTTAAATTCTTCAGGCTGATGATAACGCAGTTTCTAGTGCACATGTTTTTTCTTCATGTTTCTTGACTAGTGTAGCATGTGGTGTATTAAAATATTCTCTGCTTCATAATTCTAATATGAATACTATATATTGGTAGACAGGTAAGCTAAATTGTGTATTTTAGTTACTTGGCCTAATCAGGCATAACCAAAGGGATTTTTTTTGTGTACTTTCCTCAAATTAAGCTTAAATAAAAAGGGTGTATTGGTCACATTTCATGTCTTTTGAAAACATAGAGAATTGTGAAGCATGTTCATCTGCCTACACTAGAAAACTAGGGTGCCTATAGGTTGCTCTTTAACTGTAGAATATTTGAGAAACAATTCAGTCTCCTTTTTAACTGTCAAACATTTTGGCACAGTTCATCACTCCAGTTTGTTAATCTCTTGAGAGTAGTCCATTTTTGTTTTTGTTAATGTTCTGGTCATTGGAAACAAAAGAGCTCATAGTTGAGTGATGTAATACAATAACAACATAATATAGTAGTCATTTTGCTTCAAAGAATTTAGATAGCCAAATAACTGCTATTTATTGCTTACCTTTGTGGGGCTTTTGTCTTGCTCTATATGACCATTTCTGCAACAATGAAGCACATACAATAGAGCACTTATTAACTTAATCCTCCTGCCTTATGCACTCATGAAAAGTAGTGCTTGCTAGATGTTTGAAGATCTTAGGATCCCTGTACTTAGGGCTCATTGAGTTATTTGTAACATCAGTACTTAGTTCAAGCGATGTACAGTGAGTTTTGGGGACCAGTAGTATCCAAGCCCCTACTCAACTGAACGTGTAATTTTGACTGTCTCCTTACGTCAGAGGAGATGTGGAACGTAAGACACTTTGAGACATTACCTTGTATAATAGCTTGTTTTATGTTCCTGAAGCTATCTTGTCCTGTGTTAAAGCTACTAATGGTCTCAATATAAGCTTTAAATAAACGTATTTCATTAGAGCTGGTTTGCATTGTGTAGTTTTTCCTTTTAAGTATGTACTGTTGAATATAATTGCTTTCTTCCTTGAACCCTTTTACTCCCTCATTCGTCCAACCCTTGGCTCCCTTATGGTGAACATTTTCCAGTACTCTTACAAGTTTAAACACTGCATTTATTTTAAAAAAGAATTAATTCTTATTGCTTAGACTTTTTATTAGCTAAATGAAGAGGCTCATACAGGTAAGGTACTTGTTGAAGCGGAGTACTTTACTTCATCTCGCAGTGCTAATCCTGTGAAGTTGTCCCTTCTAGCTGCATATTCCCCAACATTGGCCAGCCCTGGTACCACACAGCAGCTCAGAGCACTGCGATATATACTCATGTCATGGGCATCATACCACTCGTCGGTCTTTTCATCATAGCACTCAACATTAAAGGTGGTGGTAAAGCCATTAAAGCCACCCACCACAAACAAGAGGTCGTCTACCACCTCGATGCCGAAATTGCTACGAGGATTAAACATAGTGGGGATCGTGCGCCAAGTGTTAGCCACTGGGCTGTAGGCTTCTGCACTCCTAAGTCGATTAGCTCCATCAAAGCCGCCTACCTGTGGACAGCAACGGGAACATGATTTACTGTTAGCCACTGATTCTGTTCACCCAGGAGGCCCTCTAAGGGGAGGACTAGTGATTTCATACCTCCCTCTTCCACTGTTCCATGGAACAAAACCTTTTCAAATGCTTACCAGTGGTTGTATAATAGAAAATGGAGGGGAATCATTTTTGTTGTTGTACACGATAAACTCACCGCATACACGTGTTCTCCATAAGCAATTACGCCTATTCCACTTCTCCTGCTTCTCATGGGGGCTATGACTGTCCACTGATTACTCTCAGTGTTGTACACTTCTGCTGTAAACAGGCATTCATTTCCATTGAACCCACCACATATGTAGACCTGTGTGAAGACAGTTCAAGATTATTAAAAGTTACCTCTGGAGTATGAAAAGGGGCACTCTGAGTTTCTTTTTTACACATGTACATCTATTGCTTTTTATTTATTTTTACTTTTTTTGTGGTTATACTCTCAGAGTTTATTACAGTGAAAGGATACAAATAAAAACTCAGCCAGGGGAAAAGATTCATGGGTCAGAATAAGTAAGAAAAGATAGTTACAAAGGGTCACTTAGTCATTTGATGGAGTTTGAACTGCCAAGATACTGCCATTTCTGTTTTCCATCCACCCCCCAAAAGGAAGAGCATTATTCCTGGGCTTGTTTGCTTTCACATCCCGGCCCTCCTCCCTACCCCTCCCCCCCCCCATTTTTTTTACCTTTCCGTAGAGTGTTGTGGCACTCGCGTCACTCCTCTGTTCATGCATGGGGGCAATGAGTGTCCACTGATTGGTCTCTGGCTCGTAGCGTTCAGCAGTGTTGAGACGCACGTAGCCATCAAATCCTCCCATGGCATAGATGAAATTGCTGAGGACTGTCACGCTGACATAGCAACGTCTGGAGTGCATCGGGGCTACCTGGTGCCAAGTTTTCTTGACTGGGTCAAAACGTTTAACACTATTGAAATAGTCTACACTATCGAACCCCCCAATGATATAAACGTAGCCTTTCAAATAGGCTGCCCCGTGGTAGGCACGGGGACTTTCTTCTTCACAAGTGACATTCACCCATCTGTCTGCCCGAGCATCATATGCCTCAATGGCATTGGTGGGGCTCCCACCACTCCAGCCACCAATTGCAAATAGGATGGCATAGGGTAGGCGGGGCCTGGTGAGTGGGTTGGTGAAGTCAGAATTAGAGGGTCCATTCATGTTTAGGTCATACATGGCCTTTAGGGCATTAATGATGACTGGCTTGCATTCCTCACTGTCTTTGACATAGTCATTCATCTTAACATTGTTCATGAAGTACTCAGCATGCATTAGGGCCAGGCGAACCTAAGGAGGAAATGCAGCAAGTCATTTAAAGTGAGGTGAGGAGGCCTGAAAAACCCCTTAGCCCCTTGGTTTACAGCCTGCCTTTGAATTGTAGTGGGGCCATATTTTGTGTTTTTTTTTTGAAATTTACAACTTAAACACTTTAAATATCTGTTTTTAAGAGGTGGTATACATTTGGACCCTGAGAATGAGCTAGAAAATGATCGGCAAGCTAGCTCATTCCTTGACCACCAGACTATGCTACTAGACCAAAAAAAAAAAAGTTGAATTTTTCTGTGAATGAATATCTGTCTCTGTATGTAAAATAACACAAATTAACATCAAATGGCTACAACTCCAGTTTCTCTCTTGGGTTTGGGGAAACTCAGAATGGACAAAGGTAAAAAGAAGACTCTAGAATTCTTTTGAAGGCCTTGCCCTCTCCTTCCCCCACAGCCAGGGAGAATTTTGGTCAAAGACTAAAACTGGGGGGTGGAGGGGTGGCAAAATGCCCTGGCTGGTGTGGCTCTGTTGGTTGGAGCATCGTCCCGGACACCAAACAGTGGCTGGTTCGATTCCCGGTCAGGGCACACACCCAGGCTGCAGATTCTATCCCCGGTCGTCGTGTGAGCAGGAGGCGACCGACTCACATTGATGCTTCTCTCCCTGCCTCTCTCTAAAAAAGAAAAATAAATATAATAAAAGAATGTAACTGGGATAAAAGGAACTAGCCATGCCAAGGGTAAAGAAAATTGCAAGATTCCAGAAACTAGTAGGAGATGCCTTCTCTACAAATATATGTAAATACAGCCCTGGAATCTGTCAAACATCTGAATATAGCTCTTAGGACAACCCGAGTGGGATAAATGAATCAAAAGTGGTCAATTAAGCAACCCACACAAAAAAAATAATTAAACTTGACCTTGGGGAGCAAAACTGAAATATGCTGCTTCCTATTTTGGGAGTCATGAGCGATCCATTTTAAAATGGCCTCAAACACAGCGTCTTCTTGCTTGACGTTTAGCTCATCTTTCTCAATGATATCCTTCAGTTCAGTGACTGAGAGCTCCAAAAACTCGGCCGAGACTTTCACCATCTCCTCGAAGTTGTGCAGTATGAACATGTAGGCCTTCTGCCTGAGTTCCGGGCAGTAGTAGTAGTCTGTGAACTTGCAGATGCCGATACAGTTATCCAGGCACAGCTCTGACTTGAGGAACTCACAGCAACCCCTCACGATACCCATGATGTTAAATTGGTCCGCAGCAGCCAGCAGCTTCTCCACGTTGTCAGGTGTGATAGGGACGGTCCTGGTATACGCGTATTCAATAATTAGTTTCATCATGTCGGGGGAGATGCCAGGAATGTTGTATACCTTCTTTTCAGTGTTGTTCCAGCCACTTGTAAACAAAGCTCTGGAAAAAGGGGAGGAACGAGCCATCACTGAAACATTTCTCTCCAGTTTGCCATGTTCTCCCCACTTTTTGTTGTTGAGAGTTTGGACACTTTCCAAAGAGTGCATTGAAAATCAGTGGGCGGGAGGAAGGAGAGGGGCAGGGCAGGCTGCCTTATACAGTGGGCGAGAGAACCTTCCCAAGAGCTTTGACTTTGGTCACTCTTATCCTCATGCTAACGATAACCTTTTCCCATTTTGTGGATGGAAAAATCGGGATCTAGAGCTCGGTGTAAGACCCAGGTCTCTTCTGTCTCAACCGCATTGCCCACCAAATGCAAGGAATCTTCCACACATAGCCATAATCTAATCAATTCTATCGCTACCTCCTTGGTCCAAGCCACCACGGTCTCTTGCCTAGATTGGGAGTAACCGCCTAACAGTTAGGCGGCAAACTCATTAGTCAACGGAGCCAAATATCAACAGTACAACGATTGAAATTTCTTTTGAGGGCCAAATTTTTTAAACTTAAACTATATAGGTAGGTACATTGTTATTAACTTAATTAGGGTACTCCTAAGGCTTAGGAAGAGCCACACTCAAGGGGCCAAAGAGCCACATGTGGCTCTCGAGCCGCAGTTTGCCGACCATGGGCCTGATTTGCTCTTGACACCTCCAGAATTTAGTCTTAACTATACCACCAGTGTTCCTCTTAAAACCTTCCATTGACTTCCCTTCTTAGAGTAAAATACAAAGTCCTTCCAGGGTGGCTGAAGTGGCATTATTATCTACCGAAGTCCCGTGAGATCTGGGCCAGTCACAGCTCTCTGACGGTAGTTCCTCCCACCTTCCCCCTCTGTTTCAGCCCTGTTGGCCTTGTGTTCCTTGACTACATCAGAGATGCTTCCACCTTTGGGCTCTACCCGCTGTTCCTTCTGCCTGGAATTCTGCCCAGATCTCTCTCTCTCTCTCACTCCTTCATCCCCTTGCAGTCTTTGCTCAAATGTAACTTTGTCAGTAAAGTGATAACCCTATTTAAAATTGCCATCCACGCTACCTTTTTTTTCCCTTAGCACTTACAATCTGATATGTAGTTTATTTATTTAATGCCTCTTCCCCCTACCAGAAGGTAAGCTTCATGAGAATAGGAATGTTTAGCTCTTTACTCATTGTTTTATTTCCAATACCCACTATAGCGCTGGTCGCAAAATAGGCACTAAATAAATAATTATTGAATAAGTAAGTGACTGCTATTCCACTCTGTAGCTAGGTACTGAACAGGACAGAATTCCCTTCCATAATATATTGTGCTTCCTTTTTCTAGGAGGTCTCAGGGACTATGGGCTTAAAGATAAAATTCTTCTCTAGAGCAGGGGTCTGTAAATACAGCCTCCGAGCCAGATTCCACCCACGCCTTCTTTTTGTACTGCCCACGAGGTAAGAATGCTGTTTACATTTTTAAATGGGGTAAAAATGAAATTCAAATTTCAGTGTCCTTTCACTTACTATTGTCTACGGCTGCTTTCCCACTATAGAGGCAGAGTAGAGTAGTTGCATGTGACAGAGACTATATGGCCTGCAAAGCTTAAAGTATGTGCTAGCTGGTCTTTTTATAGACCCTGCTGTAGATCACCATGAGAATTTTTAGCAACAGGTGGGACACATTTATCATATCTTGATTGGAATTGATTACCCAAATATTTTCAGCTCATGAACAAAATAACTCTTCCATTTCCTGGGTTACAATGGTTTGGACACAAACCACACCGCCCCCCCCTTTTTTCTCCTGATAAATATTTATGTGGTTCTTCCCCTGCATCCATCCCCCTTCCCATCCCCTCAATCCTTGATAATTTATCACCCTGTTCAAGCTCGTCTTAGGG